GTGGGAGGGGAGGGGGTTTAGAGGATTAGGAGAGGGTGTAGAGGAGGAGAAAGGGGGGTGGGATGGGGGGGTGGGGGCGGTTAGAGGCAATAGAGAGGGGTTAGAGAATGGGGGCGAAGGGGTAGAGGAGGAGAAAGGGGGGTTGGGGGTTGGGAGAGGGGGTTGGGGGCGGCGCAGAGGATGAGCCGTATGGTAGAGTGGCGGGGTAGATGAGGAGGAGATAGATGGGGGGTTGGGGTGGGAAGGATGAGCGTGGCGGAGAAAGGGGGGTTTGGTTTGGCGCTAGAGGGCATGAGGCGTGGGGGGGGTTAGAGAGGAGGGAAAGGGCGGGGTTGCGGGTGGGGAAGGGGCGGGGAGGGGCGGGTATAGAGGATGAGCGTGGGGGGGGATAGAGAGGAGAAAAGGGGGGTTGGGGTGGTGGAAGAGGCGCGGAGAGGGGGGTTAGAGGATGGAGCGTGGGGCGGGGTAGAGGAGGAGAAAGGGGGGTTGGGGTGGAGGGGGGCGGGAGGGAGGGGGTTAGAGGATTAGGGAGGGGGGTAGAGGGAGGAGAAAGGGGCGGGTTGGGGGTGGGGCGGGGGGAGGGGGGGTAGAGGATGAGGGAGCGGGGGTAAGATGAGGAGATTTAGGGGTTGGGAGGGGGGTAAGAAAGGGAGAGGGAGAGTTAGCGAGAGGGAGGGGGGAAGAAAAGAGAGAGGGGAGGGGGAGGCGAGTAGGATGGAAAGCGGGGGGGGGGGGGAGGGAAATTCAAGGAGGAGGAGGAGGAGGGAGAGAGAAAGAAAATAAAATACCTAAAAATAAGAAAAGGATAAAACAAAAACCAGCAAAAGGAAAACATAAAACCGAACCCAACCTCGAAGGAAGACGCAAAGATCAAGAAGAAACACAAAACACACACACACTTCTCATCAAGACAGTCCTAAGAAAACCTAATTTTCGTTTTCCTCACAGAAAGATGAGAAGAAACAATTACATCGGACACTGTTCCTCTGCCGATTCATCCTCATCGTGAGAGTCTCATAAACTCATCATAAATCTCTCTCTTCTCTCTCTCTCTTTATATATAGTATTACTATACTTATTATATATAATATATATATTATATATATATATATATATATTATATATATAGTATATATTATATATATATATATATATATATTATATATATATATATATATAATATAGTATATATATGTGTGTGTGTGTTTCGTGTGTGTGTGTGTTGTGTGGTGTCGTGTGTGTGTGTGTGGTGTGTGTGTGTGTGTGTGTGTGTGTGTGGTGTGTGTGTGTGTGTGTGTGTGTGTGTGTGTGTGTGTGTGTGTGTGTGTGTTGTGTACACAACATAAATACCCATACATACATGCCACCAGAAAATGCGGCAGTTGTGTAATTAGCATCGCCCAATACCTCAAGTTCCCTCACTTGCTTATCTCCCAGTGCCAGTCGCAAACCCCCCCTCCCCCCGCCCTTCTCTCCCCCCCCCCCCCACCCCCCCCCCACCGACCTCTGCTTGTGCCATTCTGTCCTTTCTCC